ACGGCGCCCGCACCCTCCCTCCGCAGGCAGCAGAGGAGGAGGAGGAGGAGGCCAGCCAACCCCAAACTGTCTCAATAAAGGTGCCTGAGCCCGCGGGGGGCGCTCTGTGAGGGTGTTGCGGCCGCGGGCAGACTCTCGGGGCGCCTGCCGGGGTGTGGTCCGCGGGACAGAGGTATTTTTTAAACAGAGGACGGACCCTGTCAGCTATACAGTCACAGATGTGTGTCCGCGTAGAGCAACCCGTGGATTTCCCCCCCTCCCCCCCCAGCCCTTAGAGAACATCTTTTGTAAGGTTGTTGTTGTTTTTTTAAAAAAATAAAGGCAGATGCGAGTCCCGTTCCTTAACACTTGACGTGGAGGGGGCAGAACACGCTCATTCGACGTGTCAGGACAGGGACGGACGCGGGGGTTCCCGGGGCGTGAGCTTCACGTTCCTGGGAGGTGAGCTCCGGCCGACATTGTTTTGGGTGGATGTTGACCGAATCGATCCACATTGTCGCCTCCGAATGTGGACGGTTGGGCTCGAGGCTAAGGACACGGGCACGTCTCCTGGGTCCTAGGGGCCCAGCCGCGCCCCCAGCAATGCTGTGTCTAAGGGACGAACTCGTTCTCTGAAGAAAACCTGAGTGTATTTCCTCCCCTTCTGTACTTGGACGTATTTTAGGCTCCACATTTTGTAATGGGAGAAGCTCTAGGAGTTTTGGGGTCGGATGCCAGGAGCACCCGGGGCAGGCGGCCGGGCTCCCTCCGGAATCTCTTGGAAGCCGGTCTCGCCGTGTGTCAGCGGGGCCTTCGTGGGAAAGATACGCTCTCGAGGGTTTTCGGTTTGTTTGTTGCTTTTTAAAAAACTATATATGTTATTGATTTTTTTACAGAGAGGAAGGGAGAGGGATAGAGAGCTAGAAACATCGATGAGAGAGAAACATCGACCAGCTGCCTCCTGCACACCCCCCACTGGGGATGTGCCCGCAACCAAGGTACATGCCCTTGACTGGGATCGAACCCCGGACCCCCCAGTCCGCAGGCCGACGCTCTGTCCACTGAGCCAAACTGGTCAGGGCTGTTTGTTGCATGTTCAGTGCTTAATCCTCCCCCGAGGATATTTTTCCGTTGATTTTTGGAGAGCGTGGAAGAGAGAGGAGAGGGAGAGACAGAGAGAAACATCGATGTGAGAGAGACACACCGATGGGTTGCCTCCTGCACGTGCCCCGACCAGGACCCAGGCAGAAACCTGGCTTCTGTTTGGGCGTATTCTTAACCCCAGAGTGTGGGAATTTTTTTCTTTCTTTCTCCATTCCTTGGAAGCTGGTAGGGTATTTGGCCTCCCGTCCCCCCCTGCCTCCCGCCGCCCCCGCCCCCATCTCTTTCTTTGTCCTTCTCTTTTGTACGTGGGAAAATGTATTTTTGTACCATATCTCATCCCTGGAAGAGGAACCTTTTTCTCTCCCCAGGGCTGTGGACGATGTTAGTGTAACGCTTCGTTAGGTGTGATAGGCACACATCCTGGTGAGAACTGCCGGCCGCCGTTGTAAGCGAGGCTCGGTGTGGTCGGGTCTCCGTCCGTGTTAACTTCCCGGGACTCCAGGAAATACCACGAACAGAAAATAGTCCAGAAACGAAAAAAAAAAAAAGGACCACCTCCCTGTCCGAGGCGGGGTTTGTGTGGCTGTTTTGGGACCGATGTTTAGAGCGACCTGGTGCCTGATGCGCTGGAAGCGACGCGTTGGGTGGGAGCCTTCCCTGCGTCCGTGTTCTCATCCCCGCACTAGTCAGCGCTGCTGCCTCTCACCGGCAGCCTGGGCTTCTAGGGCCCGGGGATCCCCGACACACAGTTGCAGCCACAGGACTGCCTGAGCGCTTGCCCTGTGGCTTGTGCTGGGGTCTTCGTATTTTTTATTTTTTAATATATTTCTATTGACTTCAGAGAGGAAGGGAGAGGAACAGAGAGATAGAAATATCCATGATGAGAGCGAATCATTGATTGCCTGCCTTCTGCACGCCCCCCCCCCCCCCCCCCCCCCCCCCCCCCCCCCCCCCCCCGACGC